TTCTCCTGCAGTGAGAGCCCGTTGGTGGCCCCTGTGACAGCCAGGAAGCAGCCAAGGAAGCACGGAGCGAAGCCCCCCTGCCAGAGAGGAGCCCGGGCCGATGAATGAGGAGCTTGTGGTGCTTGGAGCCAGGCTGGCCACGGGCAGCCTCTGAGAAAATGCCCACCCAGGCCTCCATGGCACTGGGCTGGGCCCAGCTCAGGCACTGGGCTCCCAGAGCAGGCTGGACACCTGGCACAGGCCTGTCCTGTGCCCACTGCCCAGCCCCACACAGCACCCTCACCATGTCACACCAACCTGGTCCAGGATCACCTTCTTCACAGCCACAACTTTTGTGTTCCCTGGGACGAGCCAGTCCAGGATCCTGTACCAGCTGCCCACAACAGGGCCCTGCAGGAGCCAGGGGGTGAGGAGCAGCCTCTGTCCTCAGGGGTCAGGGCTGGGGCCTCCAGGGCTGGTTACACGGCCCTGCTCCAGCTCTGGACCACAAAGAAAGCTCATCCTATGCTGCTCCTGCTCCATGGAACTGGCCCTGGAGGTGGCACCAGGATGGCCCAACTCACAGCCCACCACCACAGTCCCACCCTGTTGAAGGAGCCCTCCCATGCCATGATGCCATGCCATGATGCCATGCCATAACCCCACCCCATCCATCCCCACTCACCACAAAGCAGAAGCCAATGCCCATCATTTTCAGGGTGCGGGGGCACTGGTGCCCGTGCAGCCCCCGCTGCTCCACCAGCTGCTGTGCAATCACATCCCCAGCTCCCATCAGGGCCCCTGCAACCAGCACGGCCCACTCAGGCAGGCCAGGCCCCCGTGTGCCCCCTGCCCAGGGTGCCTGAGCCTGCTCAGCCCTGGTGGGGCTGTCCCAGCTACAGCTCCATGGCCTAACCAAACCCCATGGCACCAAACCCCATGGCACCAAACCCCATGGCACAGGAGTCCCACCCTGCCAAGTGCCTCAGGGCTCTCACCGCAGCATCTCTGCTCAAAACCGTGTCCAGCTGCACCTGGACATGGGGCTGACCCATCAGCCAGGCTCCATGGTGCTCTCAGAGCAGAGCCTGCCCAGCTGCTGCCCATGTTCTGCACCGCAGCCTCTCCCTGGGCACCGGGCAGGCTCTGCCCACTGCGATCCCTC